AACCCAGGGGCAGGCATGCCCGAATTGATTTACGACACAAAGAACTCCGATGAATGCACTGACTATAACGACCCATGGGCCAATATGAACGGGGCTTCAGACGCGCGCGAATTCTACGCCGCGCGTCGCTCAGACCAATGCCGCGGCACGCGCTGCCCGAGTGGGTGGACAGCATGCTGCTGCAGCTCCAACGACGCAGACGCCGACGGCCACGACGACGACAGGTGGCACTACGAAGCTTACTACCATGAGCAGTCCAGCACATGCACGTCCAGGTTTCCCAATGGCGACTTGCTGCTACCTGGAGGGCACAGATACCCCAACAAGTACAACAAGGAGATACTCACGCATCAAGGCCGCGAACAGTACCTGCCACGTCCACCGCCCCGACCTGGCCCGCGAGCAGCGCCATTATCGACGTTCACCCCCCCGCCCGCGACCGACGCGCGGCAGCGTTGCTCCCGCCGAGCTGCAGCCCGGCCCTCGCGGTCAACGGCAGCGTTGCCACGGCGCAGACCGACGGCGACAGCGCCAGCGACGAGCGCGCATTAGCGGAGGACCAACAACGAGACAAGCCACAACCGCCCACTGCACCCCCACCGTGTGGCCAGACCCTTCTATTTCTTAAAGAACGCGCGCCCGCGCTACCGCCGCGGTGGAACAAGTTCGACGCGCAGATGCAAGAAACGCCCTCTGGTAGTCCTACAGCTCCGGCCACGCCCGCATTCACCAATGCCCTACTTGTCAAAAGTCACCGCCACTCCCCAACGCGCCCCCCGAACCTGGCGCATCCATGCCAGCGCAACTACATGCCGCCAGCCCCGATCCCGCGACCGCGCGCCACCCGAGCGAGGCCGCTGCGCCGACCGCGCCGCCCCCGCCCGCCCGCGCGTCGCCAGCCAAGCTAGCGCCGCCGCGTTCTTCCAAATTATGCGACCAGCAAGCAATCGCAACAAGCAAATTGCAATCGCAGCGCCCGCGACATTCCGACGCCAGCCACGCCGCGACCACTGCCGACAAAAGCAACATCGAAATGCAGCTCCCGAAGATCCACTATACTTGCGCGAATCATATACCCGCCTCCCGAGGAGACCATAACGCAGCGCTGGGCGCAAGAGGTGTCGATCAATGCCATGGCGTCACAGGCCTGCGCTACGCCGCGCACCTGCGTTCCAACCGTCGCAGCATGAGCCATAGCTAATCGCGCGCGAAGCAGCTGCGAAGCGAGGCGATCAACGCATGCTCATCTGCAGCCGCCGCGTCATTTTGGAGAACAATGCAGGCGACCCAACGTGCCGCGGCTACATCGACAGGCTCCGATCGCACCAGGCGCGCTGCGAGCTTTTCCCCGACAGCCTACGCGACGCTCTTCTATTGGGGTTGCCATTCTAAAAACAGCCTTCTACGTAAGCAGATGGTGCGATTCTACAAGGCGCCGCCCAGGCCCTTGCCGACGGGCTAAGGAGATGGCGGCAATGGAGCCATATAAAGTTACATCGACGGCGGCGCGCCGCGACTTCCACCGAAAGTTCCTGCTGCTCTTCAGTTGCAGCAGGTCATCCTCCACTGAGACCCTTCTCGTCTCAGCGTAATAAGCCGGATAGTGCGCGCGCGCCGCGGCCGCTTCACTTGACATGACACCCTCTTTGTTCTCACCCTCTTGTTCTCTTGACATGACGGTTTGGGGTCAACCAAGAACCCTGGTCCGCAGTTCGGGCGCGTTTACGGCTGGCGCCGCGCCGCGCAATGCACGTGCCTGGCCTGTATTTGTAAAAGGCAGTCATTTCCTAGTGTGCAATGCTAGCTTACACCGCGTGCTGCTCCAGCCAACTCTTTGCTCGACGCTGCTGTATTTGATTCGACGGTTAGGGCTGGCCGGGACGCCCCGGCCCGCGGCGCGGGCGCGCCCGCCACAGGCGCCTCGTCGCGCAATTGGCGCGCTACGCCTGCGTCTGCTCAGGCTGCATCTTTGTTTGACACCTTGCCTATGCCGTGAGCTTCGGTGCGATGCCAGAGCGCGGAGCGTCTCTTTGCTCGCGAGCGTTGGTGCGTGGGTAATCTGCCCGCGCGCTTCAGAGCACTGGCCGCGTGCTGTCCCTTGCGTCGGGCCTCCGTCTCAGTCGCTCTTTGCGCGACTGCCTGTGCTTTGCCCGCTTTTCAGCTCGGCCATGCTGGTTCCGCATCTCTAGAGGGTGGGGGCGCTTGCGATGAGGTGTGAGGTGGGGGAGGTGGGCCACTTTATACACGGCAGGTCGGGCTTTTTCCCCGACAGGCAGCGTCCTATCCAATGCGCTCTCAAATCTGTATCCGCGCGGGCGGTTTTTATTTTTATTTTACTGGCGTTCGTAGTGAGCCATGTGTGGCTCACGCTACCTCGGGCGCCTAGCTCTCCAGGCCAGCCTGCGCAGGCCAGCCTTTGCAGCGTTGCCCGACCTACTTTTGCACCTCGTTCTTACGTGCCTACCCCTCGTACTCCTGACATGTATATGGCGACGGTGGCCCCTCCGCCTCTGGGCCGAATGGCGGACCTACTGTTGGCTGACAAAGCGGGCTACTGCTGGCAGAGAGTGGCCACTGTGCGTTGCGAGCCTGCGATGGCGTATCCTGCGCTTCTCTTTTGATAATGCAGCGTGGGCAGCATCTGAGTGCTGCAGCTCGCAGCTGCGGCCTGCCAATATGGCACACACTATGAACACAACAGCTATGGGGATCGGATGGGGTCATGCATTGAGATCGGGGATGGGCGGGGTTCTCTTCGCTACGGTTGCAATTCACGTAACCAGCAGGCGTTGCTCTTTTGCACAGCCACCTTTGAATTGTTTGCAGTGTGTACCTTAACAGATGAGGGCCGCTTACTTATCACTTATGTTCACTTATAGTCTGGAACTAGCCCACGAAGGTGCATGCTGCTTTACCTGGCGGGCGCCCGCCATTCTACCTATTATTCTCGCTGTCTCTTCTTGCCGCCTGAGCTGCGGCGCCCGCCAGGTGCCCCTTGCGCCGGGTCGCTGGTTATTTCTTTATTAAGCATCGCATCAATAACGCCACATGTGGACGCATAAGTTCTGGGCAGCGCCAAAAAGAGGATGAATAATGACGGTGATGATGATGATGGTGATGATGATGATGCTGCTGCTGATGATGATGATGATGAAGATGGTGATGATGATGCTGATGCTGATGCAGCTGATGATGATGTGGATGATGACGATGCGGAACATGATGATGATGATGATGATGATGATGATGATGATGATGATGATGATGATGATGATGATCATGATGATCATGAGGATGATGGTGGTGATCATGAGGATGCCGATGATGATGAGGAGGAAGAACAAGAAGGGGGAGGAGGATGATGAGGATGCGGAGGAGGAGGGGGGGGAGGAGCATGAGGAGGAAACGGTGCAGGAGGAGGATGTGGAGGGGGAGGAGGAGGAGGACGGGGCAGAGAAAGAGAGAAAAGGAGGAAAGGAGGGAAAGTAGGAGGAGGACGAGGACGGGCAGGAGGAGGAGGAGGAGGAGGAGGAGGAGGAGGAGGAGGGGGAAGAGGAAGAGTAGGAAAATGAGTAAGAGGCGGTGGAGTGGGAGGACGAAGAGAAGGAAGAAGGAAGAAGAGGAGGCGGAGGAGGAGGACGAGGTGGAGGAGGACCCGTGTAAACCCAACAGTCATCAACGATGCTGGAGTACACCCTTCCCCCAAGCTCCCTTTTCATAGGCCCCTACAAGAATTCATTTCCATTAGGGAGCTGCATCGTTGGAAGACACCCGTTTGAATACCTGAAGCACAAAACATTCTTGGGATTCCAACGCCACGGATCAACCTGACTGTTGCGTCTTGACGATCTTGAACCGTGACAGAGCGCCATTATTCGGACTTCGACACAGAGAATGAACGTAATTTTGCGCCCGCATAGTCCGAGTCCTTTCAACACCTTTTTTTTCTGGTACGTTGATGATGGGTATCCGTGAAATTATTGAACATTTTGTGAATGAATGCGCGCGGCGCTAAGGCGTTTGAAAAACGAATTTTTCAAACCGAATGTACGCCGCGCTATGGCGAGAACCACATTTTGAAAACCATCCGCCGCGCTGAGGCGAGAGCCACATTTTGAAAACCGCTCGCCCTCAATCCGTGAAGCTCTCATAATCTTTAAGAACGAATTTGCGCGGCGCTAAAGCGAGAGCCACATTTTGAAAACCGCTCGCCCTCAATCCGTGAAGCTCCGGCACATTTTTAACGAATGTGACCCGCGCTAAGGCGAGAGCCACATTTTGAAAACGACCCGCCCTCCATCAGTGAAGCTGTTGCTAATTTTTAAGTTTCAGAGTCATCAGTGGAGAGGAAGTCTCACGCGAAACGCCCAGCCCGCCAAAACTGGCTTCGGGGTGCGACAGGGAACATTTTACAAGGAAAAGGAATGGAGGAGGAGGAGGAGGAGGAGGAGGAGGAGGAGGAGGAGGAGGCGGAGGAGGAGGAGGAGGGAGGAGGAGGAGGAGGAGGAGGAGGAGGAGGAACACGAGGAAGGGAAGGAGCAGTTGGAGGAAGAGGAGGAGGAGGCGGAGGGAAGGGGGAGGAAAAGGAGGACGGCGCCCTCCGTCCCTGCCTCTTGCCTTCCGTTTCTTCTTTCCATTTCCTTTCCAGTCGTCTTATCCGGTCTTCTCCCCGTTCTCTTTCTCCCCTTCCCCTCCCTATCATGTCCCTGCCCCCCCGTCCCCTATCATCACGGCCTTCTAGTCCCCCCCCATCCACTTCTCCTCCTCTCCTTCTCCCCATCCCTCCCTTCCCTCCCCGCCCTTCACCTCCCCTCTCCCTCTCGGTCCCCCCTCCCCTCTTCCTCCCCGTCCCCAGCTGTTTCACCTCCTTCCCCTTACCCTGCCCCCCCCACCGTTCCCTCCTCCTCCTCCTCCTCCTTCTCCTCCTCCCCTTCCTTGTCCTCCGAGTACTCCACCTCTTCCCCTCCTTTCCCTCGCCGCAATGCACGCGGCACTCGGAGGTCTGTAGCCGCACCACCAAGGCGAAGCAGGTCAGGGAGATTGAGGCCCCCCCCTCCCCGGCTGCTTCGGCTGAGCGTGGTTGGGGGGTTTGGGCGGCGGCGTGAGTAGGAGGGAGGAAGAAAAGGGCGAGGAGGAGGAAGAAACGGAAGGAGAAGGGCGAGGAAAAGGGCGAGAAAGGGCGAGGAAAAGGGTGAGGAGGAGGAGAAGGAGGAGGAGGAGGAGGAGGAGGGAAGAGAAGGGCGAGGAGAAGAAAGAGGAAACGGAACAGGAGATGGAGGAGGAGGAACTGGAGGAGAAGGAGGAGGAGGATGAGGAGGAGGAGGGGACAATTTTCGCCATGCACTGCGACGAGGGCACACGTGTTGCAGCATGTTCTGCTGCAGCTTGGGTGGTGTTGGAAACGCACACGCAGACACATCGTGGCCCACACATTTTACCCTTGGTTGGAATGGTCATTTACATGGCAGAGCCGATATCCTCGTTCTCAGCGGAACTGATAGCGTTAGAGGACTGTGCTGTCTCATTCGAGCGATTATGGGCCGCACTTTGCACTTCAGAGTGGCTGTCCTAGGTAAGATCTGGGCTGGGAAGAAAACAATCAAGGAGGAGGGGTAGGAGGAGGATAGTGAAACATCGTTGGCTGACGTCTTGGCTGTGCACGATTCATGGTTCAGTAATGCAGAATACACCGAAGTGCTGGTGAACGATGTTAAACTATGTAGTCACCTCGTATTCCATATTTGCGTGTGAGTCGAGAAATGGTAATGCGCACGCCGATAGCGAGATACATACTTCGTTTTGTTTTAGAGCAATATGTCACAAGCTTGATGAGAATTTGGAAAACATATCATATTGGCAAGCATCCGAACAACTTTCAACTAGGAACGTCCGCGCGGCAGGGAAGCATGCGCTGTTCTCTTGTGCACACTGGTTAGGCCGCACTCTTCGCAGCACGCTTGCCGAGTTCCGCCTTTTTGTCAAAGACAGCAGAGCGGTGGCAGAACAATTGCGCACAGCAGACTTTGGAGTTTCGGCGTACATTTGCATTTTGGACGTGGCTTGGTGTGTTCATGCCAGGCACAACCAGCGGAGGAGCTCGTATCAGATACCGTGGTGTGGTCTGCGCGATAACTTCGAGGTTTTGTGTCACGGGGTTTGTGGCTACTGATCAGTACCTGGTATGGGCAGTCCCTTAATTTCCCGAACCGTCTTTGGGAAGTGGTGTGGTGGTACGGCCTGGGGCTCCTCCAAAGTGGAGAAGTTGCTGATTCGGCCCTCGCCCTCTGCATGGATGCATGGACCGCTTCACACTAAACCATGTCGGCATCAGACAATTCTTTCGGATGCCATTCACAGGATCGGGGGAAGTGCCGGGCAATTGGGTAACTTCGCCAGTAAGCTTCGCATTTGCGCGGACTATGTTAAAGTCGTTGCAGACAGGCCGGACAAGAGAGACATAAGGGTGGCTGGAGATGTATGCCAGCATTGGGGAGATACCCCTGGAAGTCCGACCCAAGTCTAAATTAAGCCTTATCATCATCCTCTTCATGCTCCTCATTCCTCCCCACTACTTCTCACTCCTTCTCATCCTCCTTTTCTCCTGCTCCTGTTTCTTCTCGTCCTCCTTCCGCTTATTCGTCATTACTCCTACTGCACCGTCCTCCGCCTTCTCATTCTCCTACTCCTAATCCGAAAGGTTTGCATTCGTGGTCCTACGGTTTGAGTACTTCATCCCGCGCCATTTTTTGTGGCGGTCTGTGTGCCTAGACGCCCCAGGACGCCGAATATCATGAAAATCATCTGGCGGCTACAGTTTTCTCGAGTCAACAGGGTCTGGGTCCATTTCGATCCGATCGATTCGATCCGATATCGGCTCCAGCCGGTCAGATCCGAATCGATTCAGATTTCCTGGCGATCCGATGCGCCCCGACGCTCGCATGACGCTGCTGCGTGTCTTGGCATAGCCGATCCGATTCGGTCTCCACTCCGTGCCGATGCAGCCCGGTCCGACGCCCCTTCCCATTCGATGCGGCCTGCCGCTTCGATGCCGACGGATCCTGCGCCCTGCTCGCGAGGGGGACCCTCCGCCCCCGGCCGCGCCCGCCCAGCTCGTCTCGCAGGGCAAGTGGGGCGCGTGGGTCAACGGCCCGCCGCCGCCCGTTTGTACGCCGCGTCGCGGCCTCCGGCATACTTGTCGTCGTCGTCGTCGTCGCCGTCGTCGTCGTCGTCGCCGTCGTCGTCGTCGTCGTCGCCGTCGTCGTCGTCGTCGTCGTCGTCGTCGTCGTCGTCGTCTTCCTCCTCCGCCTCCCCATGCGCATCCCCTCCCCCTCTGCTCCTTCCCTTGGCCTGCTTTCCCTCCCTCGCCTCCTTCCACCTCTCCATCCCTCCTCCCTCCGTCCCCTCCTCCCTCCAGTGCCCGTTCGAGCACCCCAAGGAGTGGTTTGGGAGTTCGCCAGAACCCTCCGCCCGTCCTCGAGCGTGCCCGGCGGCACCGTCTCTGATGCCCTCCGCCGCGCCACCAGCAATCCCGAGGGTTACAGGTTGGTTAGGGCAGAGGGGGTGTTGCCGAAGGTGCTCCTTGCCCAAGGTGGCTCCATTTTTCCCAGCGAGGCCCGCATGGCCTCCAGAGAACCTCTCGCGAGGCCCAGAGGGTCCCAGGGGCACCAACATGGTGCGGCAAACTGGGGGCACCTGAGGCCAGGGACACCTTTGGCAACCCCCGAGCACAAAGGGGTTGAAGTGGGCCGACCCTCTGCGTTCACCTTCCTGCCTCCTCGCGGCCTCTTTCCTTCCAAATCCTGCCCACTCTTCGCCAGGCGTTGGGGCTCGAAGCGCCTCCTTGCTGGCGCGATTTCCAGGCGCGCTGGTGCTGCTCCTCGGTAGCACTGCTCCACATTTCTGCGCTGGACGGCATTAGAAAATCTTAGGGGTGTGAGTCGGACTCTCTCCTCGTCCCCCCTCCCTCCCTCCCTTCCTCCCTCCCTTCCTCCCTCCCTCCCTCCCAGGTCTCACTGGACTGGGCTGGGCTGGGCTGGGAGGGTCTGGGTTGGGCTGGGCTGGGCTGGTCTGGGTTGGGCTGGGCTGGGTTGGTCGCTCTTTCCCCCCTTTCTTCCTCTCCTCCTCCCTCCCAGTCCTTGCTAGAGGACTGACCTTTCTGCAGGACTGCGGTGGGTTCGGGAGAGATGGATTGAGCTGGGGTGGGCTCTTCCCCTCATCCCTCCTCCCTCCCTCCCTCCCTCCCTCCCAGTCCTGCGGGATCGGGTTGGGCTGGGTTGGTGAGGCCTGGGCATCTGCTCCTCTCTCTCCCTCCTCCTTTCCGTCTCTTCTGCCTCTGCACGGCCCGGCGTCCACTTTTGCATCGGCTCCCCATGCGACCCGGGGTGCCTTCTGCCTTTGGGGAGCGCGGTCGAGAGGGCGCTTTGGAGATGTCTCGCCCGGGCCTCTCTGCCGCCCCTGCTTCTCCACCCCTCTATCCGCAGCCACGTTGTCCCGAGCTGCAGCGCCTTTCCATCTCCGCATCCCTCCTCACAGCCATTACAAGGCCAACCAACAGCATGGGGTCCGATGGTCCCGAGCCCGAGGCCACCCAGAAGGTCTGGATTTCTGGATGCAGGAGCGTCCATCTCTCCGGCTCAGCCTCCGCGCGGCGTCGCGCACGGAGGAGAAGAACCAGGCGGGAGGAGGTCCTTGTGCGGCGACTATCTTCAAACGCGCCGTGCGTCACCAGTGGTCGCTGATGTCGGTGGCAGACAAGCGGGCGTGGGCCGCTGCAGCAGCCACTGGAGGCCCCGCCCCAGGGCAGCCCAAGCTCTGGCAGGACGTGGACCAGGCGTCCGCTGGGCACCAAGGGCGAGGGGCTGACACGCCATTGCCGGCTTCGACACCGTCTCAGGGTGACTCCGAGGCCGGGAGCGGCAATGGACTAGCGGTGGCCGGCACCTGCTTCGGCTGCAGGGCCACGGGCTGCGAGCTTGCTCTTGGCCACGGAACGCACGCTCAAGAGGCCTGCTGCCGCACCTGCTGGGGCCAGTGGGGGGCGACAAAGACAAGCGCAGCACGCAGCGAGGAGACGAAGGCCGAGGTACCGGACGATAGCGTGGGCGAGGCCCCGTGGAAAAAGCTGCGGCTCCACTTGGCCTCGCCTAGCCACGGCGCGGCTGCGGTGCCACAGCCTATTCAGTGGGGCGCCCCAGAGTCCGTCAAGCAGGGCTCATGGGGCGTAGGAGGCGGCGCAGCGGTGGCGCCTTCGACTATGGAGTGGAACGCCCAGGGTGGCTGCCGCCATGCAGGGGCGTGGGAAGCGCTTCGCTACGGCGCAGCACCGACACCGCAGGCACCAGCCTGGAGCGCAGAGCCCTCTGGCTGGATGGGCTGCCAGTCGGCAGCGGCGTCCTGGGCGGTCCAGCCCGGAAACGCCCAGCAGGCCCTTCTGGGCAGCGGTCTCCAGCTCTGGGGCCCCGGGCAGGCGCCGGCGGGAGCTACCGCGCCCCCAGGCTTTGGCAGTGCGGGCGAGGGCGCCCAGCAGGGAGTGCTCCAGGCGGTAGAAGCGGACGTGGTGGACCTTTTGTTCCCGGAGTACAGGCGGCTCCATGAGCATGGGAGCTCGGGGGCGGGGCGGGGGCAGTCCAGCCAGGGGGAGGAGAAGAGGTACGACAGGTTCTTGCGCCTGATGCCGGATGGCAGCTTGCCGTCCGACAGGACCATCCTTTACTGGGTCTCGACGGTCCCAGCCGGCAGCCCCCTGCTCAGGCGCGGGGCCGAGTGGCACTACCTGCCCAAAGAGAAGGGCAAGGGCACCCAAAGCACCAAGAACAAGAAAGCGCCAATTGGACTCGTGTTCCAGTTCGGGAAGAAGAATGGCGCGGTCCACATCTGGATGCGCAAATCGGGAAAAATCCACATCGCTGCTGCCACAACGGTGCGCGAGAACATCCTGTCCAAGATGCTCACTTGGACGGCCCCGTACAACAACGGCGTGCCCCCGGCGGGCCCGACGGATGAGCCTTTGCCGCCGCTGCCGCCCGCGGCCTGGACGCCGCCTTAGCGAGTGAGCATGTGCACAGAACTGCACCGCCAGTCCCCTCTCCTCCGCCTCATCCTTCCTTCCGTTGCAAGCCCCCCCCGCGCTAGTGCAGTCCTAGTCGCGTCGTGCCCCCTGCGTGGTGCCCAGACGCGGCAATGCGCGAGGCTCTTGGGATGTCTTCTCTTGGTGTTTAGTACACGGAGGATGTTGTATGAGTTTCGTACCGGATGTACGATTATTCCTCCTCCCTGTTCGCCTCGCCTCCTCCTTGTCGCCCATTCGTGCATAGAGCTACTTCGCTTTGGAGTTGTAGCCCGATTTTCATTGACACTTTATATGGAATTCTGCAGTGGGCTTTGCAAAGGTTCGTGCGTGGAGTTTTCAAGAATTCTGCACTCGAGTTGCAAAAATATCTGTGCAGACTCCCCTCCCTCCCTCTCCCCCTCCCCCCTCCTGCTCAGTCTCTGCCGGGCTGCAGCGGGCTGGGGTGGTCTGGGACGTGCTGGGGTGGGTCTCCCCCCTCCTCCCCCCCTCTCTCCTCCTCCCTCCCTCCCTCCTGGTCCTCGCTGGGGTGGGATGGGCTTGGGTGATTCCGTGCCGCCGCCTTGGCCGTCTGCGCTGCCGTCGTCGTCGCTTTTGCCGCTGTGCTGTCTTGTCGCCGTTGCTTTGGCTGTCCTTGCCGCCGCCGCCGCCGCCGTGGTCGTCGTCGTTGGCGCTGGCGCCGTTCCTGCTCCCGCTCTCGTCGTCGTCGTCGTCGTCGTCGTCGTCGTCGTCGTCGTCGTGGTCGTCGTCGTCGTCGTCGTCGTGGTCGTCGTCGTCTTCGTCGGCGCTTCGGTGAACGGAGGCCTTCCCGGCCGTGCAGTGGCTGCGGTCCGTCGGGATTCGCCCCCGAGCTCCGCCGCCGCCGGTTCGGAGGGACGCCCCTGGTTGCCTCCTGCCCCCGGGCAGTTTTCGAGGTACCAAACAGGTTCCTGTTTGGTACGGGGAAAACTGCCCGGGGGGGCTGCTGAGCCCGCCGCCGTGGCCGCCGGGCGCGTCTTGGCCCTGCCGGGGCTCCCCGGGCAGTTTTTGAGGTATCGAACGGGCCCCCGTTTGGTATTGTGATAACTGCCCGGGGGTCCCGGGAGGGCCCGCCTCGGTGGCCGCCGGGCGCGGGTGTCTGCTCGGGAGGCCGGGGGAGTGCCCCCTGGCCCGCCGGAGTGCGCTTCGGGCCTCTTCTCTTTCCGGGTGGACCCCTTTTGGAGCGAAGATGAAGCGTTTCTTGCCGCCCTCCCTCCCTCTCTCCCTCCTGGTCGATTCCCTCTTGGAGGTCTGTGTGGAGTTCCTGGGTCGGCGTTGGGCACCCCTCCCCGCACCTGCTCTGTGCGGGGGACGCTGTTGCGGCAGTGTCTGGAGTGTGGAGAGGGGGGTCGGGCTCAGACCTGGACCTCGGCGCGGACCCCTTGGAGCCGGTCGTGGCTGGGGTGGGATGGCGTTTGGGATGGGTCGGCAGGCTTCCTCCCCCCCCTTCGTCGGATCCTCTCTCCCTCCATCCGGCTAGCCTCGTACCTACGTAGTGCGTTGGCGTAGGATGGAGCCGAGACCGGGCGAGGATCCCTGCCGGAGGGCCGCTGATGCCCCCTCCCCAGGAAGACCCAAATCTAGCGTTAGCCTTCCAGCTTTGGGCGTGGCACCTCTCCGGAGGGAGCCTGGGAAGCTGAGGGAGGTTCGGGCACGGTGGCTCGCAAGGCCTCGTACCCTCCCCTTCTCTCCAAAGGCTGCTTCCCTAGAGTGTTCTCGTCCATCCCTGGGCTGACGTTGCGGGGTTGCTGTCGGTCGCCGGTGGGGCCCCGCAGCTCTCTACTGAAGGGGCTGAGCCCGCAGTCCCAACATGCCACCTCGCTGGGAGGTCACCAACCAACCAACCAACCCTACGTCGTCGTCGTCGTCGTCGTCGCTGTCGTCGTCCTTTTCTGGAGGGTGATTCTTGCTGATCTCTGGAAACGGTTCCTGGGGCTCTCGCCTCGACGCCAGCGACATTCTCTCAAATCGCCGCTCCCGCTCGAGCGCGTGCCCCAGCACGCCCTGGCCAGAGAGGCCCCGAAACTGAGGAACAGCGCTCTCGCTCGAGACTTCCTGGCAA